TTGTCTTCAAAACTTACAAAGAGTCAAAGAATTACATACCTTTAATGATTTTCAAAAATTATTAGGTGATATTAATTGGCTGACACCATCTTTAAAACTAACTACTGCCGATTTGAATCCTTTGCTTCATATCTTAAGGGGGGTGGGGGGGGCGGGGAGGGCCTTCTCTGACTTCTCCTCATCAACTCACAACAGAAGGAAAAACGGCCTCAAAGAAGGTTGAATTTGCTATGAAAAATGCTCAGCTTCCCAGAATTAGCCCATGGGAGCCCATATATTTATTAATATTTCCCACTGCTCATGCTCCTACAGGAGCCATATGGCCATCGTTGGGAGTTATTGAATGGATCCACTTAGCTCATTCTCCTCAAAAGTCATTGACTCCTTTTCATGATTTTGTTGCTAAGCTGGTTATTACAGGCAGGATGCGAGTTTTACAGCCGGTTGGATCAGAACCTAAATTTGTTATTATCCCTTATTCTACTCAACAGAATGATTGGCTTTTTCAAACTTCTTGGCAAGTAGCTTTTGCTAATTTTCCTGGTCAGATACAAAGCCATTATCCTGGTGATAAAATTATTCAATTTGCCTTAGTAACTACATTTATTTTCCCGAAAATTGTGTGTGCTCAACCAATAGTTGGGCCACTATCAGTGTTCACTGATGGGTCAAGCAAGTTCAGGTAAAGCAGGTTTTTTATAGCCATGTTCATACACAGGTAATACAAACACCATATACTTCTGCGCAATGAGCAGAACTTCAAGCTCTCATTTGTGCTTTAAGTCATTTTACAAATGGGCCAACTAATGTTTATTCTGGTAGTTTATATGCAGTTGGAGTTACAAAAACTATTGGAACTTCAACTATTGGGTACACACCATCACAAGAGTTATTCGGTTTGTTTCATACCTTGCAGAAGACAGTTCAAATATGTCCACATCCATATTTTATAGGCCATATATGGGCCCACACTAATCTCCCAGGGCCTTTAACATCAGGTAATAATAAAATTGATAAACTGGTTGCTATTTGTCAGAAAATGTCTTTGTATGACATGCACAAGCTTCACATTCTTTGCATCATCGAAATGCTTCTAGTTTGCGTAAAAAATTTAATATTACTAGAGGGCAAGTTTGTCAAATTGTACATCAAGGCCCACAATGGGTTATATATATTCCATCTTTACCATCTGTTGTAAATCCCTGTGGGTTACGACCAAATCAGATATAGCAAATGGATGTAACTCACATTCCTCAATTTGGCAAACAATGTTATGTACATGTAATTGAAGATACTTATTCCAGATTCATCTTTGCCACAGCCCATGCAAAAGAAAATATGCGACATATTATTTCTCATTGCCTACCTGCCTTTGCAGTATTAGGATGTCCTTTACAGATTAAAACTGATAATTCACCAGATTACACTAGCTCTTCTTTTCAGCAGTTGTGCCAACAGTTTCATATTGACCATAAAACAGGTATTCCTTACAACCCTCAAGGTCAAGCCATTGTAGAACAAACTCATTTAACTATTAAGCTGCAGTTACAAAAACACAAAAGGGGAAATAGGACCCCCCAAAAATGACCTTAGTCATTCCTTGTTTGTTTTAAATTGTCTAAACTGTGACTCAGAAGGTCACACTGCAGCTGAGTGACACACGTCTTCCACAGCAACAGGTCCTTTGGGCCAAGTTTGGTAGAAAGATTTACAAACAGGTCAATGGAGAGGATCAGATTCAGTAATAATATGGGGTAGAAGACATGCTTATATTTTCCTAGAAGGTGCATTTCGTCCTACTTGGGTACCTGAACGTGCCATCAGACATCGAGGACCTAGAGCCAAGGTTCAAATGACTGAGGATCAATCCAGAGATGTCAGCCCTGACTCCCAGCAAGAAGAGGAAGCTTCAAATGATGAGGGAAAAGAAGATGGCCCAGAGAAACCCAACGGTGAAGCTACCCTCATGGAAGCTGTTGAAGAATCTGACGCTGCAGACTGAGCTGATGATCCAGCAACAAGAAAGAACTAAGTCTCCAGCATTGACGCTGTAGCAATGCTAGCTCTGTTGTGCTGCCAGGTAACTGGGATACAGGGAGAAACTTACTGAACATATTTTCCAGACCCACCATTAGTACACCCAGCAGTGTGGATGGGAGAATCCATCCCAGTATTTACTAATGACTCATATATGATGGGAGGTTTTAGACCAAAGCCTATGGATTAAAGTTTAAGGAAATAAAAGGGCCAAGAAAGAAAATAGCTAATATTTAGCTCTTGCCCTCTGAGTCATTTTGAACCCAGGGATCAAGGGGGCTTTTCTGAGGGCTTTGCAATTCTGGGCCATATAACCTCTTAATTAGAGGGAACAATGAGACCCTGAAGAACAGAAAGCCAACCAGTGCACATGCTGCAAAAAAGGAGGATCGTTGAAGAAGGCAACGATCCGAGGGAAACCTCATTGTCACATAGACCCTGACCTATCCTGACAGATGGTACTAAAGGATAAGAGGCTGCTCTCAAGTTCCCAAGATTGACCCTGGCAGGAAAATCAGATGACTCTTAACAGTAGATAGGAGTAAGGTCAATTTTAACTACTTGGTCTTGAACACCTTGCAAAAACAGTTATAACCAAAGTACAGCCATTTTGGGGCATTTAAAAAAAAGACAATAGCTCTTTTAATAGAACTTAAGACATGCATTTGTATCAGCCCCACAGCCCTGGAGTCCCCCAAATTCTGAGGCATTTTTCCTTTGTGAGGCTCATAGTTTCCCTGCCTACCAAAAATTGTACTGGCCTCTGTACCTTGGTCTTTCTTACTCCTTAAAGTGATGTTTTACCTAACAACCAAAGTTTGCTTATGCCAATAACAGCACACACCAGAAACAAGAGAGCCCTTTGGTTTATTCCTTTACTCATAGGTCTAGAGATATCTGCTGGGATTGGCACAGGAACAGTGAGATTAGGAATGTCTATTTGTTACTATAAAAAAATGTCACCTAATGGAAGAAAAAGTAGGCCCAAATCTCCATCATGTCAGATGAGGCCCCAACTTCCTTAATAAGACTACTATAGCACAAGAATTAAAACAACGAATCAATAAATGAGATGGATTCAAACTAAAAAGCTTCTTCTCAGCAAAAGAAACAATCAGTGAGGTAAATAGAGAGCCTACAGAATGGGAGCAAATCTTTGGCACAGGCACATCAGACAAAGCACTAATCTCTAGGAGATTATATATATATACATATTACTCAAAAACCTTAACACCAAAAAAAATAGCACAATCAATAAATAGACCAAGGAACTGAACAGACACTTCTCAGAAGAGGATACTAATCAATCAACAAACATATGAAAAAATGTTCAACATCTCTAGCAAATACAGAAATGCAAATCAAAATTATCCTAAGATTTCATCTCACTCCAGTCATAATGGCAGCTATTATGCATACAAACAACCATAAGTTTTGGTGAGGATGTGGGGAAAAGGCACACTCATACATTGCTGGTGGGACTACAAATTGGTGCAGCCAATCTGGAAAGCAGTATGGAGATTCCTTGGAAAACTGGGAATGGAACCACCATTTGATGCAGCTATCCCACTCCTCAGTTTATACACAAAGGACTTAAAAACAGCATACTACAGGGACACAGGCATATCGATGTTTATAGTAGCACAATTCACCATAGCTAAATTATGGAACCAACCTAGATGCCCTTCAGTAGATGAATGGATAGGGAAACTTTGGTATATATACAATGGAACATTACTCAGCATTAAAGAAGAATAAAATCATGGCATTTGCAGGTAAATGGATGGAGTTGGAGAATATAATGCTAAGTGAAGCAAGCCAATCCCAAAAAAACAAAGGCTGAAGGTTTTCTTTGATATGATGATGCTGACTCATAATGGGGAAGAGGGGGAAGCATAGGAAGAATGGAGGAACTTTAGGTAGGGCAAAGGGGAGGGAGGGGAAAGGAGGAGGCAAGGGGGTAAGAATGATGGTGAACTAAGTTAGACATCATTACCCTAAGTACATGTATGAAGACAGGAATGTTGTGAAAATACTTTATGTACATTCAGTGACTTCAAAAATTGTGCCCAATATGTGTAATATGAAATGAATTGCATTCTGCCATCATATGTGACAAATTAGAATTAAAAAAATTAATAATAAAAAAAGGAAAAAATTGTCAGTGCAGATTATTGAAGATATCCAACAGGTCACCAATTCAGTATTGACTTTACAAAATCAATTAGATTCCCTGGCATCTGTCATCCTGCAGAATCATTGAGGCCTAGATCTCTTCACTGTTGAAAGAGGTGGCCTTTTACTGTTCCTCAGGGGAAAAATGTTGCTTCTATGTCAATGAATCGGGACTGGTAAGTGATAAGGTTAAACAACCACAGCACTGATTGGAACAGCAGAGATGAGAACGATCCAGTTCCCAAAACTTCCTGGCTGCTCTCTTTCAACCTCATTTTTCTTGTAATAACTCTCTTATTAATTTTATAATAACTGTTTTATTAATTTTATACAGAAGTAACTTCTTGACGAGGTGACCTSTCTAGCCCAGACCACCTTCCAAGAACGTGCAAAAGCCATTCTCCTCCTTCACTCATAACCCTGAACTCTCCTGAGAAAGGAATCACCCGTSACAATGTCTGTTTCTCAGGCTTTGGTTTTGGTCAGTGCTTGGTGGGTCTCTAAAGGACTGAGCAGCAGAATGGAACTAACAGTGAAATTCTCAGAAGTCACGTGGTTAAAACAAAACTCAAACAGRCCGTCCAGGAGAATTCTGGAGTAAACAAAGACAATCAGGCCAGGAGGCCTTARCCTTTCAGAAGCTGGAAATGTTGAAATTGAACTTGGGTTGTTTTTATGAACTGCTCTGTTAGGAGAAAACTTCTTGGGCAATCACAGCCACAAAGTCAAACATAAAACTAGAGACTTTCCAAAAAAGGCAGTGGTGTTAGTGCAGCCGGACAGGTAGTGTCTTCATTTCACTTTCGCATTTACCCTGATGTGAAAGGGTCCTCTGTCTCCACACTACCTCTTGGCCATTCCTCGCCGGAACACTCKGCTGTGTTGAACTTGGTATTTCACAGTTCATGAGTTGCTTCTTACTTAGGTGAACTTTTTAAAGATTTGGTCTTATTTTGAACTGATATCTTTATCAATTCATATTTTGCAAGCGCACCAAAGGCCAGGCAGATCAGCAGGCGCCTGACACACAGCCAACACCTCAGGATGACTATGGTAAGTGCCTCTTGAATTTCAAGGGGAAATCCACACTGGGTCCACTGCCCATTGGAAGGGCTCSGTCCGGGTTACTGGTGTCAGTAAGACTGAGCACCAGCCTCAATTTTGAAAGCTTGTGCACGCATTCTACTTGTACAAAACTGACGGACACCATGGCACACGYCTGTAATCCCAGCAGCTCCGGAGGCTGAGACAGGAGAGTCATGGGTTTAAAGCCAGCCTCAGCAAAAGTGAGGTACTAAGCAACTCAATGAGACCTTGTCTCTAAATAAAATATAAAATAGGGCTGTAGCTATTGTGGCTCAGTTGTCGAATGCCCCTGAGTTCAATCCCCAGTATACCCCTAAAAAAAAAAAAAAAAAAAAAACACCTGCTCTTACAAAACTCAGTTTTCTGTGGGAGACAGTGAGTTTTTGGCAGAGTATGTGTCTCCCTCTGTGTCCACAGGGCTTGGTTGTAGGTTTGGGCTGTCGGGGGGAAGTATGAGAGTGTCCTGTGAAAGGATCTGGGTCCTTATTCTAGAAGGTGTGTCTATATGTGGGCTCCTGATGTCCCTGTTACTTCAGTCTCTCCACCTGCACAGCTCCCACGTCCTCTCCCATCTACTCGAGCTCTCCTCCCCACCCCCAGCCTCTTCTCCACATTGTCCACCTGCCCCCCTCACCGGAGCTTTCCAGCCAGCATAGAGGTACGCTGTGCTTCTCCATCTCAAAAAGCCAGCAAACCACATTCTCTATCCCCTCTGTCATTTACCACCCTTTTTTTCTAAATCCTCTTTGAAGAAGAAAAGAAATGTTCAAAAGAACTGTCTACCCAGTTCTCTCCTCTCCTATTTCATCTTGAACCTGATTGTTGGGCAGAGGGTGAGACTCAGGCCAGGAAGCAGGTCTGGGGCTCTGGCAGTTGAATGAAGATCCAAGGCATGCTGGGAATGGTGGTCATCATTTATTTGTCGGCAGCCCCCATCCAGCTCCCTGACCATTTCCATAGACCCTTTATATATTGTACACAGTCCAGAGAACATGCCCTGCCGACAGGTTCCATTAGGGGGCGCCGGCTCACAAGTAAATGTTTATGACCTTGACTGCRCACTGACCTTAACAGCCCATTCCTGACCTTGGCTACCTACTGAAAGCAAAACATAGCCCCTGGAAGCCCTGGCCAGGGAGCCTCACACTAGCCTTTTGGGACCAAATCAGACTTCCTCACTTCTTCCCCAACACCTGCTCTGCTCCAGGTCCCAGTCAACYCCTCTCTTGAGGACCTCATGTGGCTTCCACACCCACCCTGGCCCCTGCTCTCTGCTCCATCTTTTCTGGCCCTCCTCTCCAGTCCCTGGGCTCCACTGGGTCATCTCCTTTTTTCTCTCTACTCACTGCCTCGTCCCTCCCATCCAGTGTGGGGACTTGAACAATCTTCCCGTGACAGTGATATCCCAATGCACGGCTCCAGCTGAATCCTCCCCACACTCCAGTCGGACTCAACTCCTCTGCCCAGAATCCCCCTGTGCAGATCTGATCTCCAGGGTTCACTTCCCAAACCTTCTCTACTCAGTTTCCCTCAAACCAATCAAAGGCAATGTCATGCCCTGGGTTGCTGGGGACAAGGCTTGCAATCTTGACACCTCCCTATCTCTCTCTCTCTCTCTCTCTCTCTCTCTCTCTCTCTCTCTCTCTCTCTCTCACACACACACACACACACACACACACACAAACTCAGGGAATCTTGTTGGTGCATCCGTCAAAATCTATCAAAATGCACCCAGAATCCAGCCGTTTCCCACACACACACACTTTCTTCATGGTCATGCTGGCCGATGCCCTGACAAGTCTCATGTCACTCACTGAAACAGTCTCGCCTGCTCCTCCCTCTGTCCTGGCCTCCTCTCAGCACCCACCAGGAACACTTGGACACACAAGATCATAACAACTCTCCACTCACTCAGAACYTTCCACTGTGCTAATTTCCTCAGAAAACACAGCCAACCTCCTCACCAAATCGGAAGACTCTGGCCACCCAGAGCCCTCCAGCCCTGGACACCACTGCCATCCTCTGGCTTGATCCACTTATGCAGCTTTCACCCCCTGAGGTTTCTCAACATCCGGGGCATCTCTCCACCTCCAGGCCTGGAATGTTCCCTGTGACGGGCAGGCTCTTCCCCCAGGTCCACCAGGTCTGCCGCCCTCCCTCCTCCACGTCCTTCCTGAGTACTTGCCTTCTCAGCAAACTCTGACAACTGTGCCTAAAATCCCCAGCATCCACCCAGCACCCTGCTCTCCTCTGTTTTTTGTTTGTTTGTTGTGGGGGTGTTTTTTTTTTTCTCTTACCCATCTTTAAGTGTCTTCTCACACCCAACCCCGTGGACTTACATCCTGCTCACCTCCTGCCTCCTCTCACTGGGACTGACTTCCTCAGGGCAGAAGAGTCTCCTGTTTCCTACGCGGTCCTAGCTCAGATTCCTAGGGCCAGGCTTGGCACAGGTGTGATGCCTCCTAATCCACATCATCAAATGGTCGAATGCTCCTGCCAACTCCAGTGTGTCCCTAGTACAGGGAGGACATTAGCTGCAATTTGTATTCAACCAGAAGGTCACCTGGTGACAGTCTCCCTCCAATGTTCCTCCTCCACAGAGAACCAACCAACCAAGTCCCTGTCATTTCTCAGGAACAAGAGCTTGGAGCTCCTCCCATTCCAGAAACAGACCATGGCTCCCAGGGTCAAGGTCTAAACACCCACCAGGGGCCTGGCTCTGTCCCACTGAGCCCCACAGGCTCCTCCTTCACACTCTCCCACTCACCCTGACTCAGTGACTCCCATTTCCAGAGAGAGTGGGGCACGGGAGACTACTGGGACTTCCCTGCTGGGAGGGGACCCACCAGGGCTGCCCAGCTGCCCAGGGGGAGAAATGCTGCAGCCAGCGCTAGTTGAGGAGAAGAAAGCGGGCGAGGCTGGGGACAGGCAAAGTCCCTGCATGGGTCAGGGCCACGAGGCACAGAGCAGGAAGTTTGGAATCAGAAAAGTGGCTTCTAATGCCACTTCTGCCCATGCCTGACCTTGGAAAGAGAGCATTCCCCAGTCCCACCTTTCACCAGGTTGTCCCRTCTGAGCACAGGGTGCACTGCAGGACAGCTGTGCCCAGGGACACCCAAGGATGGGGGCTCTGGGACTGTGGGTCGGGCATGGATTATTTCCCATCCAATAAGAAAGCTCAAAGGGCGTGAGGGACCCCATTCCCAAGGAAGCCTTTACGAATAGAAGAATTTTGTTTAAAAACTATTTGTAAAACACCTGCATCATTGACAAGGGTCCTTCCTTCTGCTGTGAGCCTTCTTGCTTGATTTAGACGCTTCGCCTGCCTTTCCCAGCGCCCTGAGGTTGCTTTCCCTCCCTCTCCTTTATGCCCCTTTCTGTCAGCTCTGAGTTACAATGATCCGCATCTGTGCCMGTCTCCCTCATAGACTGGCCTCCTGTGTGCTCTTCCTGCCCATCTGTACCCCACAGATGCCTCTATTGCTCCAGCTCTGCCTGCTGGACACTCCTGAGCTCCTGGCTGTTGGCAATGCCACTGGGTGTCATTGCCATCGGGGACGCTGGACTGGCACCTGCCCTGGGCCACACAGAGCTTCTCTCCTACTTATTACCTCATATAAGGGGAACCCAAATGACAACTGGGACCATTCCTTGGCCTCTTGGAGGAAAATGGATTCCAATCAAACTCTCTTCCCAGGGCTGTGGGGGACCCCGAGCTCCTGGGCCCCCGGGAACCACAGGCAGAGGGCTTCTATTTCCCTGGCTCCTCCTGCTGCTGCTCAGTGACTTCAGATGGGGATCACTTCACTGGCTCTTTTCCAAAGGCAGAGTGGTGGCCCTAATCACTTCCCCAACAAAACGCCACTGTCACCCACCTCGAGGTTGTCTCAGGAGCCCACTTTCCCTGAAGGTTCAGAGTGAGGGGAGGTTGCCATCAGAGGCAGAATCTGCCCAGCCCTGATCACCAGCCGCCCCTGCTCTGTGCCTCAGTCCCCCCAGCAGCCTGTTTCTGCAGCTCTGCCCGCCCACGCTGCTGGGTGCCACCTCTGCTCTCGCCACCTCCATGTCCTCGCTGTCACTGGTCCAAACCCTCAGGGCCCTGTTCACTGCCCACACAGGACAGTCTAGCTGGTCACTGTCTTGCTCCCCGAGACCTCCCCCGTCACCTGAAGCCACCGTCCAGGTGTTGGCCCAGCAGCCACATCCTCTCCTTGCAGTAGCCCGGCCTTGAGGGGTCAGAGAGCAACTCTTTCCCCCCCTTGGCCTCAGAAGCCCCAGGAGACATTCTCCCCTGAGCCTGGGAGGGGACGGGGATTTCACAGGAGCCAGGGATGGTCCATCCTGAGACCCGACTCCAGCTGAGATGTGTGGGTCCCAGAGCTGCCCTCACGGCCTCTCCTCCCGTCTGCTTCCAGATCTCTGGGATGATGATTTGCGGAGGGATGGTCGCCATCTGTGCTGTTATCACAGTCTTTGCGACCATAAATGCTCACATTCAGGTGAGTGGTGGGCCTCCTGAGTGGGTGGAGAGACCCYAGCTGGGTGAACGCTAGAGGGTCTTCAGTGCCTCACTCCATGCCCAGGGGCTGGAGGGCTCTGGTGGCCCAAGGGCCGAGCACCTGCCGGTCTCCTTTCATCTCATTGTGTTTTCCAGGTGAAGGTGGATGTCAACAATTACTTTGGAGGAGGCAGGCCCTGCTCCAAGCCCCCTAGTCGCAAGAAGTGAGATCCAGCCTGCAGATCAGAGGACCACCCCCCTTCTCTGCTTTCATAATCTGATTCCTTCCTTTCCAGACAAGCTCAAGGCTTGTCTGCTCACCCCCTGCGCTGCACCCTTCAATTCAGCCTGCTGCCTCCTGCTCTTCTTCTGAAAGGCAGAGGGGTTTTCCATGTGTTTTAGCACCAGGCTCCTCCCTGAGGCGCGGGTTCCTGTGTGCTTGTGCKTGGACATCCTCTCGCAGGCTTCTCGCAAACCACCACCTGCACTTCTCTGCCTGGGGTTTATAGGTGAGGAGGAAAATATCCAGGCACCCGTCTTCTTCTTTCAATCATCCGTTCATTAATAAATTTGGATTGAGCATCTGTCCGTTTGATGTGTCATTCTGGCATCAGTGGTCACAGCATMCGGAGAACTGATTTCAGACTCTTCAAGGTCGATTCAAGGCAGGAAGTGGGTAAACATCATGACCAACATGGTCCTTGACCTCCAGGGACCTCTGGCCTCAAGAACACACAAGAGCGTCCACCATGCCTATTAGTCAAGTTTTTATTAGCGTAATAAAAGGCCCGAGAGAGGCCACCTTTGGAGAAAGGAGAGATCAGCTAATAGTTGTGAAGTTTGAAGGGCCTGGCAGCCACACGGGCTCTGCTGTAAGGAGGACATCATGGCAAATGGTGCTGCCAACCATGGGGACCCTTGTGGAAGACAGTGGTCCCTTCTGGAATTGAAGRGTGCAGTGCAGGGTGAAGTACAGGGGGAGACTTTGCCCTCAGCTTGTCTGGAAAGGAAGGAATCAGATCATGAAAACAGAGAACGGGGGGTGGTCTTCTTTTTGTTGCAGTGAAAGATTCTTCTAGAATCTTCCATTTTGCTGATCTGCATCCTGGATCTCATTTCTTGCGTCTAGAGGACTTGGAGTAGGGCCGGCCTCCTCCAAAGTCATTTCTACATTCACATTCTCCTGAAAACAAAACACGAAACAACATGGAGAACCGTGACAGCACCGTGGCAGGTCAGAGGGGACACAGCGCGCCAGGCACCGGGTGATTCCAAGAACAGAGGCTCCCTTGAAATTGTCCCTTTGCCTCAGGGGGATTTTCAATTCCTGGAATTAAATGAGCCTTAGGAAATTCCAGACACTAAAAGCAGATCTTGATAAAGGAAATAGGGGGCACATCATTTCCTCGTTCTAGACCAGCCCTACCTGGATGGTTCTGCAAACCAGGATACGAATACACTGAGCTCCTAAGAGGAGCCACCTCCCAGGCCATTCTCTGAGGGCTGGGCAACCATGTCCCCTCACCTCTCCTTCCTCATTGCTGCCTGAAGGGCTCCATCAGATTCCACACCATCTCCTTCTACAGAACCCTAGCCCTCGGCCCTGACCCCTGACTGTGT